GATAAATAAAAACTAGTCTTAATCCAAACCTTAACGAGTACACTATGATGCCAATGCAAAAAATTTGCCTATCACTATAGAGAATATACTATTTTTTGAAAAAACTATTTCTCAACAGCCTTATTTTTCTAAAATCGGTTTACTTTTGTCTACATATACTGAAGTTGATAATAAGCCTATACATTTATTAATACAAATGGTAATTCCGAATATATTAAATTGAAACCATCAATTATTGCCATCAAATGCTCGCTTATTTTGAAATCAGAAATATGCAGAGGTACGAAATATTGTGTTATAGATGAAGAACATCCTTTGCATAAAATTTTACAACAAACTTATAATTCTTTCCAATCCACTTCAATACCTTCAAAATATCTGAAATCACTGGCTAAATGTCAGTAGTTATCTCTGACGGGTCTATTTGTATGAGTAAAGTCAAAAAAAAAATTGTAAGATTTGCCGAACAAAGAATACTGCAATAGATATAATGTTAAATGAATCTATGTCGAAAGATTTTAAGCGTGGAGATGGAAATAAAGTCAATATTATTTCGATGGTGAAAAACAAATTTTAAAATCCTGAAGGTGATATTGCTAATATCTAATATATACTAATAATGAACACTGCTATTTCCTAGCGCCTAACATTTGATGCTGTTTACATCATTGGCAACACAGCTAAATTGGCGTATTCTTCAAGTCGTTTAAATCGTATTAAAATAACTATCAATATTTTATTTCAGCATCACGATATCATTGCACCTTACGTATAGGGAATATAACTGTGCTCCTTAGTATCATTGGCATCTTCAAATATCAGAATGCCAAGCATGAAGATATCGCCATACCGCTTCGCGCATTCTTTTTGCACAGCGTGGGTTCACCATAAATAAACCTCAAAAGACTTCCACTGCAAATGTCTATAACATTATACTTAATCCATAGAAATAGCATAGAATAGTAAAATTCATTGCAATCTATTAATATTATTTTAGCACTAAGTATAATAATTTCTGTTACTTTCCAGTCAATTATTTGGGTAATAAGACATTTTACAGGCACATTTTTTAAACTATTTTAAACATTAAAATATCATCTGAAAGTCATTCAGTGAAATTTTTTAATATAATGCAAATATTTTTGAGAGTTTTATTAGAGTCAAATCAGTTGATTGTAGCTTCGCCTGCACTCTTATTTCCTACTTACCGTTTTCCAGCGCTATGGACAACTTCGACCACATAGAAAGAAGTAGTACAATAGCGAAACTAATGTGAGCGCTCACGTTCATTGTTTTTGTTTAAGAAAACTGTAAGTAATATTTCAATAATGACTCAGCAAGTCATAACACTTATTACAAAAGTTAAGTCCGTACATCAACTTCTCACATCACTGACACAACCCGACTGCATCTCATGTTTCTTAAGCAATTAACAAACTGATAAAATTAAATAAAGCAAACGTAATAAAGCAGAAGTATCAAAACTAGGAATGAAACATTAATCCAGCAAGTAGATAACAAAAGCCTACTCCTTTATTAATTTTTCAATCTTGTACCCTACAAACAGTAAGAATGTGAATTGATAGATAAGATAAGTGAGATATGTTACTAGATCAGGTAGGTTTTTAATTCTACGTACAAATATCATTTGCAATCACAAGACTATTCACAAGACTATCATCACTACAAATAGTAGTAATAGTAGTGATTAGTCTTGGCTAAATTTGATGGATGCCATAACTCTACAGGGTGCCGTTGAATGCCTGTACTGAGTAAATGTAAAAAAATGTCTTTGATTATAATATCATATAGTAAATATTTACTGTTTTTCATATGCCAACCAAATAAAAACTAAATAAACAATAATAAACAGAATTTAATGTCTTATCACACAGGCTTTCAAATCGTTGAAGAAAATCAGACGAACAGTTTATATATAAACTATACGGTCAACCCGGTATAGAATTGAATCCATAATAACGTATCTTATTTAGCAAAGAATGCCAATGACATCTTGAATTTATAAACATTTTTCTGTTTACTTTGCTAACTATAATAAAATATAATAAATATGATTTTTCAGGGACTCTTAAAATAATACTTTTTATCTTTCTAGTTGACTAAAGTAGTTAAGATAAATAAAACTTACTTGATTCTGCACAATATTATACACTCGTATGCGTATAAAAATTGTCGTGATTAGCTTCAGTAGCACAACAAGTTGTTTTATGCAAATAATTGAAAGGCATATCAAGATATTTATTCTCTCCAATAGTGATGCGTTGTACTCGTAGTTTAAAAAAAATATTCGTTTTATTTATTAAAAATTTAAATACAAATTTATAATTATAATGTGATAATTTTATTAATTTTGCTTTCAATTGTTATAAAAATATAGATTTTAAGAAATTCTTCTTCCACGTGTCCACATCATAGGCATTGCCCCTCATTCAGTGTAGCAGTTTTGAGCTTCGTACTTGCTCTGACACTGGGATCGCATATAGTGCCGGTAGTGACCTTGTTAATATTGGCGCGTAAGATGCGGAAATTTATATCATTAAAATCTAACTGGCTATATAAAAATATGGGTAGGCGGTTGCTCATAACCCATATGTTTTGCTCATACTCTTGATCAACTTTTAAGTCGTTCGGAAATTGTATTAAACGTGACATGTTGCTTTCATTTTCGTTCGCCAAAAATTTTAGATTTTCGCGTATATATGGTTTGGATGTATCCCAGCACCCAATTTCATCACGGTGTACTTGAGTAAAAAACATGATGCCATTGCGATCCACATTAGATGTCGAAGACTGTCCATTACTGCCACGATCACCAATTGGGAAAAAATTTAAGGCATTTTGTGTATTATCACTGTCGTTTTGAATTAACTTAGTTGAAACTACAAATTCCTTAAATTAAATATATAGATTATTAAATTTGTAAAATCAAGAAGAATTACAATTATTTTGTGGCATAAAAATTAAAATTTATAGCCACAAACATATGTGCAGAAAATCTGAAAATGGATACAAATTACAAATTATTTATTTTATTAAGTATCTCCTGCGTTGGGAACTTGGTTTATCTATAAATCCTTCATTTTTTCAATAACAGTGGCACAAATAATTAAAAAAAGTAATAAAATGCAATAGTTACTTTTATCCGATATCTGATTATATGACATTTTAGCGCACATTAAATCAAGCTAATTTTACAATACACGCACGGATAAACAAGTTCTCAAACAGTGTCTAAACTTTCTATGTTAAAACGTTTATACGGATACTTAACCATATAACCGTAATTAATTAAAAATACTAACGTTATAACCCTCCAGCTATATAGATTTATTACCAAAATATTTAATTATTTACTTGTCATTTTCTATGCTAAATTAATATACGTTCACCGAGAATATATATTTAATTACCGGTCAAGATATTACCTTTTTCAATATTTATTAAAAAAATTTATATGAGGATTATAAAAGAACGTCGAATTTGTGTAGGGCAACTATAGTTGTTTTACTGAGCTTCATAAATTCTTCAGAACCTAAAGATGGTAACTCTTTGTTGTTAACAAAATTGTAGCTTTGTGGTACTCTTTATATGTTCTGCAACGCAAAATTATGCTCAGAGTTACAGAGCTTGATACTGTAGCCAGCGACTGTAGCTTAATGGCCAACGCACGATTAAGCTACAGTAGCTGGCTACAGTATCAAGCTCTGTACAGTGGCTGGCTACATTAGTTCGAAATTTCAAATCGTTCGTTAGTTGAGTAAATGCATTTCAACAGCAGTGCGGAGGGTTGAGCAATAATCGTTGAGTACTTTATTTAATATCATTGGACTACACTACACTACATTGCACTGCAAGTACTACACTAAGTCCAATTATCTTTAGTTGCGATAAAAGCGCCGAAATAAATGCTTTTGAATTCTTTTTATCTTGTTTCTCGATTTTACTAGTAAATTATGTGCTTTTAACACAAAAAGAAAAGAAACGTATTACTTCTTATTACGAATATATTAAAAATTTTTCGTTAATGAACTCCAAACATTTGTTTTAACGCCTGTTTAAACTTTAATTTTTAGTCCGAAAGTTCGGTTTCAACTTAATTGCTGCAGATCAAACTTTTATATATGTATATAGAATATATAGAATCGAATATGTTTAAACATATTTGCATTTTAATACACAAAAGTTTGTTTTATGTGGCGATAAGACAGAATGATCGAAGCTGTATAAAATCAGGTTGTATCAAAACTTAAAAATTACCAGTAAAAGATCAATATGTGTATATAAGGAAAGAAATCATGATTGGATAAAGAATAAACCAACAATTTTGCGAATTATACCGAATCACAGAATAATATTTGCTCCAAATACACGCATATACATATGAATACTGAAGAAACGATAAAATTTGTATCAAAGCCCGTGTCCAAGAAAAAAACATTCAACCTCTTTCAAACGAAGATATTAAAGTAAAGCAAATATGTGACCACATCTAGTAAAAATATTTTATTGAGTTTTTTTATATTTTAGCTGGAACAGTAAAATCGTTCGAATCAACTAAAAAAAAAAATATTCAGATATTGTGAACGAGAATTAGTGAAAATATGTATTCTGAAATTTCCTATAATAATCCCAGAAAGCTATGGAGCAATTAATGTACTAGACTAGATCTATTGAAATAACGTCGATGTGGCTTATTACTGCATGCGATAAAATATGCTTTTTTTATACTTATGTTTCTGTTTAACTTTTTTGATTAAGAAAATAATGGAACACCCACAAAATATTGTTTATTTAATGACTATATGTCAAAATTCCACTTCTTAAAATTAAGAATTATAAATATTACGTATTTTAATATCTTATCTACAGTACATTGTAGCAATGTCCAATCAATTTTTTATTTTTTGTATATTATCATTTTAATATATGTATGGGTCTTTTCGTCAAGTTTGTATAGTAAAAAGGATTTATATTTTGCATGTTGACCTAATAATACTAATCATTATCTGTGCAATTAATCTTAAAGGTGTCTTATAAAAAAAATAAAAAAATATTTTTTAAACTATCCCAATTCGATACTTCGATACTCGATCATGACCAATAAACCTATTCAATAAAATAGGACGTTTCCTGCACCAATTCAACCAGTTATACACGAAAATAATAGTTTGGGTGAAAGTATGAAAGCTTTTTTTGTACCCACATAATGTCGTTTAATTTCAAAAGTTTCTTTTTCATTTTATCGGTCGCTAAACGTTTTAGTTGAGAAGGAGCCGAACTAGTGGATTTAGTAGAAGAACTAATGTCTTGAGAAATCAACAGTCCTATACTGTAACTTCGGAATTTAAAGTTGTTATTGTGTCAAAGACAGGAATTCAACGGTCATGGGAAGCTTTGCGGGACAAATATACTAAATTGAAAAAGAAAGTCTAAGCAGGAATCGGGAGAAAAATGCGTCGAAGAACAAGCAATTAGACTTAGCAACAATTACGATAGTGACTGTAAGTATTTGTTTGAATTATATTTCCAACAAAAATGATATAGCTTCATTATTTCTTGCTAACGACATCGTATGTAGTCATAAAATTTATGCTGTTTAAGAAATGGGAAATAATTCACTCGTACTGTTTTAAATTTTTAATTTTATTAATATTAATTAATATTAATTTCAGAATTGTTCACAACTGAGTGTATAATAATTGAACATCGAAACACCAGAATATAATTCTGGTAGCCGAAGAACATGTAGTAGAAGTGGAGTCCTGCTTATCTAAGAATAAAAACTGGCAAAAAATTAACAAAACTTAAGAGTTTGAGAGATCACACAAATTCTAAGAAAATTCTAAGTTGTGCCGAGAATGGAGTGATGTGTTGATATGTGTTGATAATTGGCTAAATGTGTGGAGTACAAAAAAATCCCAAAAAATCTTCCATTTGGTTTAGCATCAACTTAGCCTAACTCGCACACGTACTATATGTTTTAACCTCGCAATACTAGAAGCTAGTAGTAAAACTCGGCGTTTAATTTATTTTTTTGATAGAGTTAATATTTGTCCACCAGAAGTGAAAACCCTCTCAACAGGACTGAATAATGGCAGAATAGCGTAATATTTCATAATATCATGTTTAAAATATATGGGTAGTTAAATACTGATGATAAGTATTATGATACTTCTTAGCAAAATAAACAGTACTTCTGTTTTGTACTTCTTGAAACAAAATTCTCTCAAAATTTGAACCAACGGTAATATGTTTACAAACTAATTCCATTTGGAGAAACGGTGTTATGGCATGATCAATTCCAATAAACAGCAGAATGTTAGCTTTAAGATTAAAATGTAAGTAATTTGATATTATTAATAAAGAACCTCTCAACAAGTACGAGTACATTTCTTATGTAGATACAAGATACGAGAAATAAAATGTATCTGAGTAAGGTGCAAGGTACAGCTATATGTAAAGTGTAAAGTTGTCGAAATCAGAAAAGATAACCGATCAGTGAAAATATAGAAAGCAGTCCCATGGTTTGTAGAGTATAACGGGCACATCAAAATCAAGATTGTTGTTGCTTTAAATGTAAACTCTAAAATTGGGAGTGAGAGAACAAAAAACATATGTCATGAGAACCGAAGCTATCTGTGCCTCGTCATTCAGTCAAAGCCGTGTTATATGTGCGTATGTATACATGTATTTTCTTTTAAATTTTCTATTAAAAAATACGAAATTCACAAACTGATGTGACCCTCTGCATAACATACATTTCGTCATAGCCCGAAAGAGTCAATTTTGATGTGCCCATGACACTTTACATAACATGGGGCTTACATCTAATGATATTAAAGAATATATAAATATATTTTCTTCTGTGAGAATAACGCCAACTTTTAGAGCGCGCAGATTTTGGCAAAAATATACATAATTTATTGATTCGCATAGATTTGTGTACTTAAAAATGCAAAGCCACAGATGTGAACGTTTTAATACTGATATAATTTTTACTCAATTTTTCTTTATATGAAAGCAACTAATTGTGATTTGCTATTGTTTTAGAATATTATTATGGACACCATAACTCAACATAAATTATAAAAACCGTAAGAGTGTTCACAACTATTTGTTATACACACTTTTAAATTGTTGCTTTTTAAGTTTTAAACAAAAACATAGAATTAATGTATAAATTAAAGAAACTTATTTAAGCTGTGGAACAAATTCAAATTCAAGTTCAAATTTTGCTTACCTTGAAACTTGCCATTGGATGGAAGTACAACATTCTATCATTGTTTAAGAAATTTTTGCTTTCAGCCGATAAACTTAAGCCAAATATACCATCTAACCATTGAAAATTTAGTCCATAAATATTAAAATCTGCCGCTACTGGATTCGGGAGAAAATTAAAGTTGGTTATCCGCCAACTTTTTTGTTTTGCTAAACTATACACCACAAGTCCAAACCGCCATACATCAGTCACATACACATAAGCATCATGACATTGTCCTTCACGAACATCAGCTAATATATTGGAGTGCAGAGAGTCTTGTTTCACTTGGTCCGGTGGTAACTCATAACTTAAAATCAATTCATCAGTGTTTAAATCAAAAGCTACAATTTTTGGTGGACACAGTTGTGTGAAAGTAGTTAAAGCGTTAACAATTCCGGAATCTATCAACCATAAACGGCCGCATATATCAATTGACGTACGATACACCGAAATTAGTTTTGTACAGTCAGGATTGACCGTATTGCCATGCGCACTCCATTTTGGATATGGTTTTAATGCTGGGCTACGCTCGTTAGTAGGATAGGGAACATACGATAAACTTGCAGGCACTCCATCTTTCCATCGTGGTGTTGTAATAAAAAGACGATTTTTATAAACATCAATGCCTAATGGAAGATTATTTTCTGTTATGAATTCACTGAATTCACAGTGTTAGTTACATGATTACTCAGATATTCAAAATTGACTCTTACACTTCTTTTGCACTTACTTGTTTTTGATAGCCTGTTGTCTTTCCACGTACGTTGGATATTCAAAATCCAAAAACTTCCATTCATTAATTAAATCAAACGCATCCGACTTTCTAGAAGTTCTAGGGGTTTCATCTTCCCAAAAGGAGTGTTCATGCCAGCCGCTGCTGCAGTTTGCAACATTCATATATAATAATACTAAAATGAAATTATATAACAGGTTTGTGGCTTTCATTATTGCTTGGCAGTCGATCGTAGAGAAAAGCACTTTTAATTCGTCAAGTGAATACAGACAACTGAGTTGTTTTCGTTTAATTTAAGCTGCAAAACAGTATTGCTATATTTATGGTATTCAAAAATTATCGTAACATCCAATATTTTACCTTTCATTTTTTATGCTATACGCACACCCTAAGAAAAGGGTACATTCACTTTTTCAACACATTTGTAACACAACAAAGCAACTTGTGCGCACTATGGCTATGCATATATTTTTGAATTAATTCATAAGCTGAGTCCATGAAACCACTCTTTATCTGACTCTTCGTGTCTTCAATTGTATTTACTTATTTCTCTTCTCATTAGACGGCTTGCATATCCACCTGTGTCTGTTTCAAAGAAAGCATGGAGTTGTGTTGTATCTCTAAGTTTCAGAGACAGACCTTTAACATTTGCTAGAATATCGGCACTTCGTAAAACATTACCTGTATATTAACTAATGAATCTAAATCTAATGTAATTATAAATTGTTAAGAAATTTTGTGGTTATGACTTCTGTTTAATATACAAATTTGTTATAAATTTAATTCAAATTTGTTCCGATTTTTTGATAATACCAATATTACCAATATAGTAAAATAAAAAGGCTATTAGTACATATATCACATAATTATTTAATATTCACAATCTGAGCACATCTCGAAATCAATTTAATTTTTTTTTGCATTTGTTCGCATACAAAATTAACATAGAACTATTTGTGGAACAATAATTTGTCATTAATAATATAGTTTTATAAACAATGTATGAATTAGCAGGTAGTATGAACAGGTAGTTCGCCGATTTTGTCTTCTTTTCTCTTCATTGTTCGGTTGATGATTGCTAAGATATGAAGGCTTTCTGTTGTTGTTAGATCTTTCGCAATCTATTATGTTTCTAGCATGTGTTAGGCTATCGCAGATATCTTCTACTTGCTCTGCTGCAGAGATGAATTATCTATATAATTATGAATACACAACAAGCAAGTAAGTTAAGGTCCTGTGCTTCACTGGGAGCGACATATGACATGAGAAGAGGCGTTACTATCGATCATTTTTAAATTTGATCTGAAGATTTGTCGTTAGCAAATTTTCAATAACTTTGTTCGAAGGGTATTGAAACTTCGGTAAAGTCAAAACTAATTTATTTTCTGGTTTTTTCGCACATTTTCATAGATATACAAGGCAAAATCGTACACAAATCTGGTCTGTTTTTAAGTAAACCAAACAAACTTTCAATAATACAAGCTTAACAGCTATACCAAAAAATCACTTCAATTACACAATTACATGCTAAATATACAGGTTTCAAATATTTGTTGAAATATATTGTAAAAATTGATACAAATAAATTGAATTTCGTAGCAAACTAGCAAAGAAGTTATTTTTGCGTTCACATTAAATGTGTAATTAATGAACCGTATTATTTCATGTATGTACATTTCGATTCATGTCTTAGCCACAATCTATTCTAAATCATAAAAGTAAAACTTCAATAAAACTCATCCTGTAATGCAGTAATTTCCTAAGAACCAGTAATAAATGCACTGATTAGAAAAATAACATTTGAGAAAGGATTTGAATCATATTCATGTATCTAATACCCATATAGACATAATACCTCAATTGGCAATAAGCAAAATCCAGCTTTTTTGTGCATTGGACTTAATTTTCTCTCATATTGTTTTTGCATTCAATAAAAAATCTTTTAAAGAAAACTTGCATAATAAGAACTCTTATATATGTATGACTTCTAGGATTTATTGGGCTTTAAAGAAGTCTGCTATTCTTACGTCATTTTATATGCTTATGGTATAGTTACCGATTCATTTTAGGACTTTTGAACCAAAAACATAGAAATATGGGGACATGTGATTTGTTTCCTTTAGAATTCTAGAAAACTTAGATTCTGTAAAACCAAACCAAACCAAACCAATTCTGTAAACCAATAAATATAAATTTAAGGTTTAATTGTTTTGAGTTTTGAGTTTCCGAAAATAATTGTTAATAAAACGCGTTTGTGACAGAAATTTTTATTTCAATATATGTATTTGCAACGTGCAAATTAGACTATAAGGCTATAAATTTTTGTATATAGCAGAATTTCGATTAAGTTATTTTGAATAAAATGCTGCTGCCATGTCAATATTTTCATGTTCACGCTTTGAGCCAATTTTGCAGTCATGACTTAAGTATTACTTAAGTCAAAAAGTTGACTTAAGTCTGACTTAACTTAAGTATCTCAAGAAATAGCTGTTTTGATTTATTGTGCATTGTTTGAATATATATTCTTATTAAATATGAAATGATTTCGTGTGAATTAGTAAAAAGTGAAACTGATACGGAAATTGATATTTTATTTGAAGTATTTTATCTCGGCGAAGCAAAACAATTCAGAATCATTTGAATTCTTGCCAGCGTTATGATGAGAAAAAGGTTCACATTAGGATTCACCTTAGCTAGGAAGTGGCTCTGAATATTTTGTAGTATAATAGAGACAGTATTCAACACTAAACGAATAGGTGAAATTATTTGAAAATATTTCAGGACATTGCCCTTATTATTTGGGCAAATGATTTTACTTAATTTATTATGCAACAGGTTGCAGGTTGTTTTACTTGTATCCCATGAAAAAATTTCGCCATAGAACAGGTTTTTTAATCAACCATAAATGCATTCATACTCTAGATGAAATTAGAAGATACTAAAAAGAAGTTTTATATATTTTAAAGCTATATAGCATTAATGAAGTGCAAATGCTTGAATAAATATCAATTGTGAAAATCAATCCTGAAATCGTTTGGAATGGAGAATCATTTTAATTTTTCATCCTCTTAGATCATATATTTCCATGTAGGCGTCCGCCTTCAGTTGCATATAGTTCCTGTATTCCAGTAGCTCAATATCTTTTTAACCCTCCATTTAAGTTTTATATATTTTTTTGTGTTTTTTATTTCGTGAAAAACCAACAAATCTCCTACAATTTTCGGATTTTCCGATCTAAACAGCATATTTTTTATCGCTACTGACTTTGTCTGTCTGCTTGCATTCAATTATTTTTCTGTAATTCTCCACCAGTTCCTATTATTTGACAGCTTCAGCAGTTGAACATTTTTTATAGTACGTTTGATTTCTCATTGTTTTACTAAAAACGTTCAAAATAAAGATTTAAAATATTCAGTCGAATGAAGTTTATAAAATGAAAACGTTAAATAAAGGTATCAAAA